GAAGCCCATGGATTAGGGGTCAGCACTCAGCACAAACATTAAAATTCACTAACACTTGAGCGCTTTGTTTTGCAAACGTGCTGTTTTGATATAATTTCATTTGCTACCTACATAAAATTAGCAGTTTGAATTCTGAGAAAGAAAGGATTAGGAGTGAAGCTTTTAATCCAGAGGCAGAATGAATTGATATTTGAAAATCTATAAATAAACAGATTTGTATAACAAGGTGGAGAGGTTTTACTTCTAGTCTATGCGTATAGCTCTTGTAGCAATACAGAACAAAGATTTATTCAGTGACATTTCAGCTGAGGACTCCGTAGCTGTGATCGTAAGGGATGTGCATCTCTGGTCTTTGGTGTTTCTTTCATGAACTACAAGAGTAGTAATCCTTGCTCTTATGCAAAATACTGTTTCATATATTGTACTTTTGTCGTCAGAACATTTAAGTGCATAGATCTTCCTTTTAGTGCATTGTAATCTAAAATATGATGTCATTCGTTTGTACCGTAGACACATTTCTTAACAACACATGTAAATCATGTCAGTATTGAAACTGAATTCGGTCACCTCTACAAGTGAACTTCAATTATATGCCGTGCTGTGTTGCATATGGCCTAAATTCTTAACGGAGATGTTTACAGAGCCTTTGCAAATCAGCTGCATCCTCTGGCCCATCCCTGGGCCATCTTGTGTGTTTTGCAAAGCTTATCACCTAGTCTGCAGCTCCTTGTTAGTGAATCTTCACTAGCTTGATTAGCTCACTGGCCAGCTGATGGTTTGTGGATGTTTCTTCTGTCCCAGCATTCAATTAGTGGTGATGACCATTGTTTAAGGGGAACTTTTGTACTGTTTAGCTCTTTAACCTTTCTGGACGTTTTCTTCCGCCCTACCGTCCATGTTTATTCTCCCTCCTGGCCCTGGTCTTATTTATTGCAAGGGAGTGCAAGGCCACTTCCTCTCCCTCCACCCCTACTATCTTCTCTGTTATTGACTGTTTTCTAAACTAAAAATCTCTTTCAACAAGAGCATGCATGTAGGTTCACGTTTGCTTCTGGGATAGAGTTTTTCTTTAAGCTATAATGGGAAGAAGACTTCTTGGGTGCTATTGTTCATCAAAAGTAAAGGAGAGAGCCAGTGAGTACTGGAGTGAATTAAAAGTTTTGTCCCATGCAGTTCACTTCCCAGCATTCATTCAAAGTTTTCAAAGTGGTTCAACTCTGTCTCCTTAGAGGCAAAGCAGTCCTGTTGGTACTTGGCCATGTTCCTGTCTCATCAGCAGTCCCAAAGCACTTGTACCAGTTCCTCTAGGAAGCACCTGGAGCTGGTTTGGGTGACTGTCATTACTGTTCATGTTCAGCTGTTCCTTCTGGAAGCCTGCCTGGGTCAGCATCTTGGTCCCTCTTGGCCGGTGTTGCTTTGTAGCAAGGCTCTCTGCCCTCCTAATTCCCAAAACCTTTGCAGTAATCTGCTCTTTTCTGGTCACATTTGCTCTGTTACTGAGCAAGCGCAAGGCCCGTGCATTTGCGGCTCCTTCACACTGAGGTCTCTTTTACAGGTGTTATCCAGCGCTGCACTGCTGTGAAGTACCACTACACCTCCAGCTCCCTGCCTCGCAACTTGCCCGTCAATGTCACGAACACCATCCGGCAGGACGAGTGGCACGCGCTCCGTAAGTCACCCGCAGCAGCCCAGGCCTTTTTTCCGAGGTTGTTAGTGGAGTTGTTCCCATCATACTGTATTGGTCTGGTGTCTGCTTCTCTCCTCAAGGCCAAAAGAAGCCTTGAAGTACTAACATATACAAATTGTCGCTAAACCCATAGTGCACCCCTTCTGTCCCACATTGGAGGGTATTTGGCCAGTATTCCTCTTGAGCAGGACACAAACACCTTCTGGTTGTACAGTGCCAAGCAGAAGGGAGCCACGTTAGCTGGATTCCCTCAGTTTCAGTGTAATGAGCAAAGTGTCTACCTCAGGGAAGCTACAGGAGGGGGAGTCTGTGGGTGAAGGATAAACTTTAGAACAAGCAGATCTAACTGGCTCACCCCTGGCTGTCCTGTCTGGGGGCTGACACCTTCATGCCTTCTTTCTTGTTTTTCTCCCTGCTCTTCCCTCAGATCTGCGGAGGATGACCGCTGGCTTCATCGGCATGGCCGTCTCCATCATCCTGTTTGGGTGGATCATTGGTGTGCTGGGCTGCTGCAAACAGCAGGAGCTCATGCAGTACGTGGCTGGGCTGCTCTTCCTAATGGGAGGTGAGAGCCTTTTGCTTCTGCTCCTGCAGCCACCACAGTCAGTATTGCTGGCTGCGGAGGTGCTCTTAACAGCAAAGTCAGCCCACAGCAAACACACGAAACAGCTCTTTAGCACAGCAAACCATACACGCTGGAGTGCCTCGTGTTAGGAGTTTCTTCAGGGTTTTTTTGCCCTTCTGTGTAGGTGCCTAGTGAATGTGTGGCAGATAACAACAACCTGGGCCCCTTTTTTGGGCTGAGGCTACAGCTGGCATAGTCTGGATGTTCCTAGTAGAAACCAAGTAAGAAACCAGGTTCTGCCCTGAGCCTCAGCTATTTACCATCTGTAGGAGAGGCTGCCCAAATACCGTCCGGACCCTGGGGACTAATACCAGTCATTGGAAATTAATAGAATCTATGGGGAATCAAAGTATGATGAACTACCCATGACTGAGTTTCCAATAGCAGTAGAGGGAGCTAAGGCGATGCAGGTTACTTGTGAAGTGAGGTCTCCTGTAGTCCTAGGTATTTTACCTTTTTTTTCCCCCTGCCTTGTAAAAAGAGTGACTGGTAGGACTACAGAACAAACAAACAAACAAGGGTAATTCTTGATTTTAAAAAATTCATGACTTCAAACAACCTAGGGAAAATACCAGATCCTAATTAGCCTGCCCGAGGGCAGTGTAGAACCCTCTTGCTTTTCTCCTGCAGGTACGTGCTGTATCATCTCTCTCTGCACATGCGTAGCTGGGATCAACTTTGAGTTGTCTCGCTATCCTCGCTACGTCTACGGGCTGCCGGAGGACATCAGTCATGGCTATGGCTGGTCCATGTTCTGTGCCTGGGGAGGCCTGGGCCTCACCCTGCTGGCTGGGTTCCTCTGCACATTGGCCCCGTCACTCAACACCTCACGGGCGTCTGTACAAAAACCCAGACAGGAGAACGGGGCCGTGTGACCGGACGGAGCGAGGAGAGACTCTGGAAAGCACAGCCTGGGCAGAGCAGTGGGTTGACAGCGGGCAGAGGTGGCACGGCAGCGTGAGGAGAGCGATGCCACGGCCGTGCAAACACCAGCCCCTGGAATGCTGCTGCAGCCTCCAGGCGTGGACACAGACATTGCAAGTAACTCCAGGTTTGAATTATTGGCGACTTGGTCATTGGTGGTTTATGGGGGACAGTTCTTTTGTTTTTCTTCTGTTTACAAGGGATTAAGTCCAAGGCTGTGTCTTTTTGTGTGCTGTTCTTTGAACTGTACCTCCATGGTCCCATTATTGTCCAGTTGTAAGGGATGTTTACGCACCAACTCTATTGCTGCAGGTCTGTGTGATTCAGACCCATATAGGGGCAAGGAGCTACGTGAAGTTGGCTTGAACACTTTTGCAACAGGCGTGTCTAGGGTTGGCTCAGGCCATTGTTTCCCAAAAGAACCTTGATCTAAGCAGAGGTTTAGGCCAAAGAATTAGCCCCTCCTGAGTATTAATTAATCTAAGTCAGAAATCTGTGCTATTCCATGCTGTGGTATCAGCTATTTACCCACTCGCTACTAAAGCTGTATCCAAAAAGAGCCAGCTGTAACTGGAGTAAAGCTCTAAAAACTCTAGCGAAGGAGGGGAGTTTTCCTCAGCTTCTTAGCCAAACAAGTAACCTTTCATCTGTAACGACCACACCCTTGTTTTAATTGGGAGATGTACAAATGATGCAGCTTCTAACTGTCCCACTAGAGGTGAGGGTACGTTTCTGGAAGCACGTCAGTTAGGATTTCCAGGATCAGCTTTCACCCCCCAGGTAACCTGTGGGCACAGCTCCTGTTCTGTGGGAGATGGGCAGTTCTCCCACAGCTCAACCAGCAGTGCTGCTAGGACAGCAGCTGTACAGCCCCTCCACCGTTACCGTCCAAAGGCACCACAGTGTGTTTTCCTCAGGAAGGCCTGGCTCCTGCCTGCCTCACCCCTCCCCCTGTTCAGCACCAAAATGTCCCCCGGGCGCAGCGCCTCAGGAGCACCGTGCTCAGCCCGAACACACGCCCTCTCCAGAAGGAGCAGTAAGGACCTTGGAACCAGTGCAGGTACTCAGGCTAACTCAGGAACAGCAGCCTAAGTTCTCTGGGGTGCATTTTGCTTTCCTTCATCTGTTCTTTCCTCCCTCACGTCCCCACGCCTCTCCCTGGCGTCCAAAAACTGCACAGGTAAAGATGAGATGGCCAGCATTTGGAGATGTTTACATGGTATTTAAAATACAATACAGTGGCATGTAAGATACTTAACGCTGAAGTCAGTGTATTTATGAAAAGTGTAATTTTTAAATGGAAGTTGTAATTCTCAACTGGCATTAAAAGTACTTTAAGACTTGCTCAGTGGATGAAACCTTGAATTACCAGACTGGTTCCCCAGAGAGCTCATCTGCTATCAGCAATGGTGTCCAGTCTAGATAACAAAGCTAAAACATCATTCGCATGTGAATCACGTTCCCCTCTCCCTTGCAAAATGAGTTGTTAGTTAAGATGTTCCCAAGACCCTTATCTATAAACAAAGCTGTGTGGTCAGTAAAACCAGGGGGCGCTATCTGGGCTGCAGTTCACCACTTTCCAAGTACACTTACTGCAGTTGACCTGTTGGTCCTCATCCGCAGGTGGCAGGACAGGATTTAATCCAGTTCTAACAGGAGGCGGCTCCAAATGCAGCGTGATGGGCACCACACAGGAGGTTTTCACTTTCCCATCTGCAGATGTGGAACCCCTGAGCAAGGGCGACAGCCCCAACACATCACGGATTGTTTTTAAAGGGGAAGAAATGCTTTATTTTTTTCCAGACAGAAAGTAAGTCGGACAGTCCAGTGTAGTCCTGGCCTCTGCCAAGGTCAGATCCTTGACTGGGCAGAGCTCAGGCGTAGTACTGCAGATTAGCCTTTTTCTTTGCTTGAACCTCCAGGATTCCTTCCATGTAGTCCTCATGGGTGAGCTCTGTAGCTCCGCGGCGGAGGGCAATCATCCCCTGCCCAACAAGACAGGATTTAGAAAGGGGATGTGGGCACCCCATCCGTGCCAGCTTTCGCATTCGCCCCGTCCAACAGCAGAGGGTGCTGGGGAGGAACACTCACCGCTTCCACGCACACGGCCTTGCACTGCGCCCCGTTAAAGTCATCTGTGCAGCGAGCCAGCTCCTCATAGTTCACGTCAGGGCTGACAGGAGCAGGAGGGGGAAAACAGGTTTGAGAGCACGTACCAAATAGAAGCAGCAAGGTGTGGAGTGTCCTTAAAACCCAACAGTGACCTCTCGACAACAGAACACGCTCCCACTCCACAGCCCCAAGGTATTGGCTTTGTCCTCCATACCTGACATTCATTTTGCGTGAGTGGATCTGCATGATTCTGGCTCTGGCCTCCTCATTAGGCATCGGGAACTCGATCTTGCGATCCAATCGTCCAGAGCGGAGCAAAGCTGGGTCCAAGATATCAACCCGGTTGGTTGCAGCAATCACCTAAGTAGAAGCAGGGTTAGCGGGCACGTGGTGGACAAGTTCCTGCTCCCCGAGGGTACACCAAGCCTCTTCCCTAGACACTGTTTTCCATCCCCTGCTAGAACACCCTGGACCTCAGTAGCACTCTGCTAGATCCCAACCTTGACTTGTGTGTTGGGCTGGAAACCATCAAGTTGATTAAGCAGCTCCAGCATGGTCCTCTGCACCTCCCGGTCACCAGCCTTCTCACTATCAAACCTGAGGTGGAAACGGGTGAAACAATTAGCGTGAACCTGACCACCGTGTGCCTCTGCTTTTAATCACAGGAACAGACAGTACAACTGCAGTTCACACTCCTCGGCCAAGGTCTTCCAGCTGGTTTTATGCAGCAGGAAACCATCAGGCAGATCCCACGTCTTGCAACCTTCACTCAGGAACCCAAGCACAGTAGCACCTGCCACCTACCTGTGACCAGCTTCGCTCTCTTTCTGAACAGGCCCTGCTTTAAGGTAGCCCTCCCTCAGACAGGGGGCTGCCAGGCAGCTCCCAAGAGCTTTATGACATGGCCTGCGCCTCACCTTTTAGTGCCAATGGCATCCAGTTCGTCAATGAAGATGATGGAAGGGGCTTTTTCCTTTGCTAGAGCAAAAGCGTCGCGTACCAGCTTAGCTCCGTCGCCAATGAACATCTGCACAAGCTGCGGACCCGCGAGCTTCAGGAACGTAGCCTGGGAAGAGAAAGAGAATCCTGTGCCTTGGTTCTCAATAAGGTCAGTTCCAAATACCACGAGAAGCCCTTAGTTAGAACAACCGAGCACGCAAACAGACATGAAAACCCCAGCCTTGGTAACACCGCCTTGTTCGGACAACGCTTCTCAACGCGGAGGCGTTTCTGTTCTTTGTCGGGTGCTGTCCTACAGCAGCACATGCTTCCACAGGTTCCTTTTACCTTCGTCTGGGCAGCACATGCTCGAGCTAAAAGCGTCTTCCCTGTTCCTGGGGGTCCATACATAAGGACTCCTTTGGGTGGCTGTATACCCAAGTTTTCAAATTTCTCCTTATGATTCATTGGCAGGACAATGGCCTCCACGAGCTACAGTGAAAAAAAACACACCATTAATACGTAACCCCATTCTGTCCCACAGATACAGTCTGCCTGTGTTGAGCTGAAGTTCGAAGACTGCTGTCCTCAGTCACAGCAGAAACTAAACGTCAAGTTTCACCTCTTGGATTTGTTTATCCAGGCCCCCAATGTCACTGTACTGCTCTGTGGGTCTCTCATCCACCTCCATGGCCTTCACCCGGGAATCATACTCAGTAGGTAGAGTCTCCAGGATCAAGTAAGAGTCTTTGTTCACCCCCTGTAAACACAAGTCCTTTGCTTGTAACACTCTTCAGGCAGCAGTGAATAAACACAATCAAGGATGATTCTCCAGACCTCAAGGGTGCAGCAATGGCCAGCTCTAGCACTGGCACTCATGAAATCCCCCCAGCCTGGCACAGTGGACAACGCCACAGCCAGCCTGGCACATTTAGAATAAGAGGGGCCCAACTTACTTTTAACACAAACGATGAGTTTTGGAAACCTCACTAGGCGCCCTCTACAATTTCAGCACCTGGTTTTATGTATAAAGAGCACACATCCCAAACTACTCTCCTATACTAAGAATATGATTGAGGCCATACAAAAATTGTCTTGGGAGAAATGTGGACAGATTTGCCTTCTCTTTGAAGAGCAAGACATGCAATTTTCTGGCCAGCATTGTATCTAATGGTCACAACAGCACCACTCACCACTAGGTCTCCAGGCTTCAACTTCTCAGCATCAACCAACCCAATAACAGGCAGGAAATATGTCTGTAGGGAAGAAAACGCAGTAAGCAAAACCCAGCCAACCCTTGGAGAAGGTCCCTTTCCACACTCCTCACCCCTGGCTGACCACACAGGTCTCACCTGGCGCGTAGAGGTCTTGATCACAGCGCACTTGCCCTTCCTCTGGGAATCAAGGTCAATGTTGGCTCCATCCTCCTCCTGGTCATTGGGGTCAACATCCAGCAGCTGAAAACCAGAGCAGGAGATGCCATCACAACGTAAGCAGGATGACCCCAGAATGAACACTGCTAAAGTACACACAGCAGGAGAACTAAAACTTCCCATCATCCATCATCAGGAGAATCCTGGAAGTATTAAAACTCTCTTATAAAAATGTCTTCCTTGCCTGATGAGGCAGCACACAACAGTACACAGAAAGATGCTACATAGTTCAGAACACAGCCACAGTTAATGGTGCTGATTTCTCCTCCCATTACAGCAGCTCACATCAAGCCTTAAGTTCATTAAGTTTTAAAACACTAGTACTAACCAACCACCTTTTTTTAAAAGCTCAGTGTATCAGCATTTTTTTTGGCCCATCTGCAAAATGAGCGAATTACAAAAAGAATGTGATGTAGTAACAGAGGCATCGCTTTTCATTTGCTGTGTCACAAGTTTCAGAAAGCACGTACCAAGTCAGGTGCCCAAGCCCACGCTAGGCAAGACCGTGACACCCTGACGGCTGGTTGCGTCCAGGTGAGCAGCAGTCAACACAGAAGGAACCACCCAGACAAGAAGTGTGCACCTTCAGATCACAAACATGGCTAAGGGGAAAATGAGAAAGTCCCGGCTCCAGGAGCATCAGCAGCTTGAGAACACGACACATCCGGAAGGACTGCCAAGCACCCTGCCCTTCTCCCTCCCAACACGCGCTCCGCTCACCTCAATAACGTTAGAGACAAGGTAGGGTAGAGTCTTGTTCACTTTGATCTTCTCGCTGTTCTCCTTGATCTTGTCTTTCATGGCCTGAAGCTCGTGGGTCACTCTCAGTACTTCACTCTTCATGATCTGGAATCCATACACAGAAGAAAGAGAGGAATAGTACTAAGAAGACTAAGACAAGATACGTTATTCCAAAAGTAAAACAAGTGCTCTTTTATGTGGAATGGGCCTGTCTTGGGACAGGCCTGCCCCAGTCTGTCCTATTAAACATCGTTAAGGCCAGCCTATAGACAAGAGCATGGAGTGCACTCGCACTGCATTTGGGGATGACACCCAACTGGGGGCACAGACTGTGCTCAGGGGCACGGCTGCCACTCAGATGGACTTTGGGAGACTGGAGAAACTGGCCTATGGAACACAAGGGCAAATGCAAAGCCCTTCCCCTGGGAAGGAACAGTGCCTTGCAATGACATGGGCTGGGGACCAACTCTGTGGAAAGGGACCTGGGGTCTCCACGGATAATAAACTGAACAAGAATCAGCAACGTGCCCTGACAGCAACGTTAGCAAACCAGATCCCGGGCAGTCCTAACAGGAGTGTTGCCAGCAGATGGAGAAAAGTGGTCTACTCCCTTTACTCAGTACTTGTTAGATCCTGTCTCAAGCACTCAACAGACAGGGAAAAAGTGGACTAAGTTCTGCATAAGGCCACCAAGATAGCCAGGGGGCTGGAGCACAGGCCCTGTGAGAAGTAGCGTCACAGGGAAATGGGCTTGTTCAGATGGAGACAGCATCAAGAAGACAGAAGCAGACACTTCCCAGCCGTGCACAGTAGGCAGATGAGGTAGCAAAGACTGAAAGGAGAGGTTCAGGCTGTATATAAAGCAAATCTTTACCCTCACAAGGACAGTCAAGCAGTGGCACAGAATGCCCAGGTAAGCGGTGCAATCTCTGTGTTTAGAGGTTTTCAATATCTAGCCAGATAAAGACCTGAGCAGCCGGGGTTACAGCTGACCCTGCTCTGAGGCAGAGGTTGGACTAGAGGTCTTCTCAAGTCCCTTCCACCATGAATTACCCAATGATCCTACATGACTCAGGCCATGGAACAGGATTCCCCCTTCCCTGTGCCTACAAGAGCTGAGCGAACTTGTCCACGTTTAACTTAAGCACCCACAGCTCTGCAGAACAACTGTCCCCTCAGCTTCCTCTGATCCTCGCTCTTTTACTATTTCTCCCCTGCTTTCGAGGCTATTCCTCAGCCTGCCCTTCCGCTTCTAGTTAACTGCGCCTTCGTTTTCATCGCCCTCGCCTCTTCCCCAACAGCTGTGCAAAGCCCCTGACACCCAACCCGAGCACCAGCAGCGCAGGGCTCCCAAGGCG